GTTCTTGTCAATTTATTCCTAGTAAAACAGCTAGCAGTTACATGACAATACAAGATGTAATTTTTAGTAGGAAAAGCAATAGCATAACAGCTTTTTACAAACCCACCTCATTTACAAATTTAACCTGAAGCAGAGACAGACATTTAAAATACCTGATACATGTTTATATGATTTGTATCAGATTCTTGTCAGACAATCTCCTGTATTGCATGCAGACATGCTGACAAAGTTGCTGTTTGACTACAAGCAGATATCATTGCTAATAACTGTGTGGAGTTCGTATGTTCTCCCAGTGTTTGTGTGGGGTTTTTCTGGGTGCTCCGGTTTCTTTCAGTGCAAAGATATACTGGTAGGTTAATGGGCTTCTGGGAAAATCGGCCCTTGTGTAAGTGTGTGTGTCTGTCTGTGCCCTGCTATGGACTGTCGCCTCCTGTCCAGGGTGTATCCTGCCTTGTGCCCGTTGCTTTCTGGGATAGGCTTCTGCTCCCCTGTAACCCTATACAGGAGTAGGCAGTTAGAAAATGAATGGATGGCTAGCTTGCCCTTTTCACGGTGCTATAGGAACCAGAACCACCTAAAGCAGGCCTGTCCCTGGTCCTGTGCAGCCCCAGTGCCGCAGGATTTAGAGCTAGACGTAACCTTTAAAGATCTGGAACAATTTAACTATGACCTATCAAACAGCACCCCAAAAGTCTCATTCATGAGACTTTCACACAGCGAAACAGAACAAAAGGCTGTCTGAACCCAGGCTTAGAAAACTGCTGATTGAGACATCCACAAGAGATTAATTAATTGAATTAACACGGAGCACACAATCGCTGACTCTACACCATACGAGGGGAGAGTGCTTTTTCCAAATTCCTCTTGGTGTTACACAACATTATTCCAGGTTTTTTCCGTGATTGTGATTAGCGGAAATGTTCATATATGCTGTGGATGTCCCCCCCACCCACACAGATAGATTTCAGCATCTCGCGTGTGCAAAGAACTGGTTAAGTACAAATACACAGGTTTCCCCACCCCTCACACCACACCTCCCTCACGCCTCCTGTTCGCCTTGATCCCATTGGCTTCCAAGCTCGCCCAACGTGTTTTTGCCAAGGAAATTATGCAAGTATTGACTTTCATTGACGCCTTGTTTGATTTATAACATACACGGTAGTCGTGTGACTTACCAAGAGGACGTAACCTGAAACCGAGCTGCGTTCCTTCCGTATTCGACTTCCAAGGACAGTAGTGGAAGCCTGTTCTGATCAGGAGGTTTTTCTCGTCTCAGTTTCCAAAGTGCTCGTGTTCAGAGAGCAGGGAGCCCACTGCTTTTCACGAGGCATGTACTGCTGGTCCTGCACCAACCAAAGCGCAGGTCTAGTTTGGAAAACCAAAGCCTTCTCAAAATGTCCTTCTTCCAAAGCACTGCACCAATCGAATCGAAACATCAGAGACCAAAGCATTTTTAAGTTCACACGAGAAACTGTCTATAATGTATGTGAATGTGGGGCTTCTGTGAAGACCAAAATGGCCACTGTTCATATGCTGCCCATTATACCAGCTCCTGCTGTTTGAAAACCACTTAACCAATTACCTCCAAACGTGCTCAGCATCATTCTGGTGGAAATACCTTGACCATTTGACACTTCGTAATTCCTGCACGTACCCAGAAGCCTGCACGATTGCCATTTTGCTGTCCCAGTTTCAGTTGCCTCTGTCTTGGGAACTTCCTCTGCACCACATTAATTGAAGCTAGGCAGATTTCATGAAAAGCTGCTTCTGATTTGCACCTCTCAAGTTCTTGCGATCTTTTTCCCTCGCACAGCAGGTCATCAGCCACTTCACGGAACAGGGCCTCTTGCACACACTGCTCTGGTTGAACTCACAACCTGGCCAATTTCATTCTAGCGACAATACAGGTAAAATGCTGGAAGTGAACTTCTTAGATGAACTGCTATGAATGGCCACCTGACAGTAAACACTGCAACACAAAAACATACAACTGATGCTCAGCAGCCAGTCAGAAAGGAAATTATAATTCCATATTTCCACTTTTGTCTGGAAATATATGAAGGTGCATTTTATAAAGCGGTATCTTAGTATTAAGGAAGGGTAGTGTAATTACCTGAAACTCTGGAGTCACACCCATTTCAACCTTTCAAGCAGGCTGAGTACTTAGAAGACACAAGTCATAGGTTTATTCCATGCTGAAAAGAGAAGAAAGAAAACACAACGTTTTGGCTGTGGAGCCTTCCCTCACACTCCTTTGCAGCCTACGCATGCTGACACAGATACCTGAACTGCTTAGAAGACAGTCTATAATAGAACAAATAGTAGCAGTAGAATTACGGTAGGCCAGACAAGAAGAAGTACTTCTTGTGGCCACAAGGTAATAAAAAGAAGTAGCCCATTATTTTAATAACTGGCTTTATTCAGTAACATAAAATGATGTTTATACATATAAAAATATTACAATTATTACTAGACTTCTGGCAGTTCACCTGCAAGGTGTGAATATTAGCTTATTCAAAAAGAAGGCTCATCCTTGCCCTCTCAGAATTGTCCATAAGCCTGTGGCAGCCTGTGTTCTGATACAGCAAGATTCTCAATGGAAGACTTATGTCGGTCTATATAATAGATGGAAAGCTATCAAAAGGGAAATCATTTCAATGAAACCAGCACTCCGTGCAAAGGCAAAATACAGAAAATATGTTGTGGCATAAAAATTGCCCTGGAGATCACTAAACATGGACCCATGTGAAGTGGCGTGGGCTGTGATTCCACAATACTTCCAAAAGAATCCCAGCAAAAACCCACTTCCCAGGAGTCTGGCATGCAGCTTCCATGCCAGGGATGGGCTGCAGTCCAGCCAGCCTGGATCACTAATCTTATACAGTAAAAACAGTACTGCCTTGCATAATGCAGAATGCCAAAGTCTTCTTGCTTCTAACCACCATTAAGTGCTGTGCTTGGTTTGGTATTTGCGGTATTTGAGTTTTTAATTAATTTAGTAATGTATTGCTTAATGCAATATTCATTCCTTCTCAGGAAACTGCAACATCCAGACTTCCAGAACACAGCTTTAACTACAGTGAGCCCTGATATGCATCATCCAGTTTTGTGCCTTTTTTAAAGGACCTGGGGCTAAACCTGAAATCTGGGACAGACATTATTGTTAACAACTGAGCCTGAGGTAAAACCTGTACACTTTTCAACGACTGTCAAAACCTGTTTATGTTATGTGTTTCCAAAACAGAAAATCGACAGTATACCTCTTGAGAGCGTGTCTCATGTTTGACTTTTTTTCCAAGGGGTTGTGGTGTTTGGGAGTGAAAATAAAGCCTGATTTAGAGCAGTATTGAACGTTCCCTGGGATTGGGTTCGCTGTAATTCTCTACCGGCTAACGGCGGGAGGAGCAGACTGAACTGAGATGAGGGGCTCCAAACAGCTGCTCTGGCTTGAATGGAAATCTTCCCGAGCTGTTTTGGGTGTGCAGTGACCAGGTGCAAACCTGAAACTGCAGTCATAGTGTTGCAACCTGGTTTTTAACCACTGCGTCCCTCTGAGAAGCCCCTGTCATGATTCAGAGCTGTGAATGAAAGACCTGCTCTCTGTGTTTCACAAAGCACTGTCCTCTGCGTTGCAGCATGAAACTGATCAGAAGTCCTCAAGGACCCCAGGGCAGACAGGAACAGCTGCAACCTCCTGTCTTCAATCCATGTTCTCAGTCCATCCACAAGCTTAATGTGTGATGGTACTAATTACTCAATCAATCGATTGCATATATACAGTATGGCCTTTTAATACAGAGCACTGTCAAGTCACTTTACATAAACTATACAATAAAGACCAGGACAGTGT